AGACAAGAGGGGCTCTGCTCAGAGTCCCATGCTTTAAAAGACTTACTTATCACAAACTCAAACACAAATGAATTTTATTTTGTTTCATCTTGATGTCTGTAAAATTGTTTTTGAAGGTTGACTAATCACTTGAGCAAAAGAGAATTATGGGAGGGATTCATGAACCAAAACAAGCCCCCAAGGAAGATAAGGGCCAAAAGCCACGTGTGGGAAGGAAAAACTATGCTTTGCTCTGAAAACCACAGAACAAGTGTCTCTTTTTGTTTAAAGTTGAGTGCTCCAAATCACTCAAAATGTGTCCAAGTGGACTGGGTTCCCCAGTTATCCATAGTATTTCTTCCCTTTTGCTTGGGAAGTAGTTACGAGAAGCATTAAGAACTGCCTGGAGAGGTTCAAGTGGGACTTGAGAAAGGAACCTGTCCACTTCATGGTACAGAGCAGAAACTCTGTGGTCAGTTCCCCAAAGTTTGACCTCTAGAATCTTGTTCTAAAAAGTGCCTATAATTTGTTTCTATCAGACATAGTAAGACACACAGACATGGAAATGATTGTCCTGAAGGAGTAAGTTCATATTCACAGATCCTTTGAAATAAGAGGCATGCCATCATACATGGGGCCACATGGGGAAGAACCTGGGTTGGTCAGGAGGCAGAGGAACAAGGGGAAGCATGGACACAAGCTTCAAGTAAGGTTTTCATGGACGCAATGGGCAAGGCAGGGTAAGCAGGCCAAACAGGTTTAGGATTGGCTGGTGTGACTATTTCCACAGAGTGTGTGACTATTTCTGGGGTGTAGGGATCACCCCTAGTTGCCTGATACCGGGCCCTGAGGTGATTCTAGGGCAGAGGGATAGTGGCTCAACCTATGAGAGTTTGATAAAGGAGGTAGTAGGAGAGTATGGACTCTGGATTGGTCAGTTTGCACATGAAAACCACACCTTAGGGAAGTCATTTGTTATCTCTAGGAATTAGCCAATCCTGGGAGGGGCAGCCTCTCCAGTATCTGCAAGGACCCAAATTTCACAGCATCATTAATTATAGGAAATTAAATACAAGCATGATTAATACAAGACTCTATCCTATTTTTTTTCCTCTCAACAAAATCTTACTCTTACAGCTGGAAGTCATATCTTTCACATTTTTTATACCTATAATGAGCTTCAGTTGGAGTTAGAAACTGAACAGATAATTGATTTTGTCTAGCCTGAGTTTAGCCCTTCACATGAGGCATGTCTCAACCTGACTGGGTGGAGAATTTTAAGAATGATTATAAATAAAAAATTCAATGGATAATTAAAAATGAAGTAACTTTAAGCCATGATTCCAATAACAACTAATGAAAAATTATTCATTGCATGTTTATGGCTTTATTTATTGCTACTAAAGTGCAAGTTACATGCACAAAGGCAGAACCCATGCAAAAAATTCACCTGCAAATTGAATATAATGCTGACTGCAAGTTTATTTCATCAGGTCTTTGGGGGGGGCGGTAATTGTGTTTGTTTGTTTGTTTGTTTGTTTGTTTATTTATTAACAGAGATACTGGGGATTGAACCCAGGACTTTGTGCATGCTAGGCAAGCACTTTACCACTGAGCTATACCCTCCCCCAGTGCAAGTTTAATATGGTACAGATAATTTTGTGTTTGGTATGCTTATAATTCTACATGACTCTAGAGTCATATCATTGGAAAATCCTAAAGGTTAAGGTTATTCAACAGAAAAAATTGAGAGTCATGATCAGATTCAATTTTTAGGACTGCCTTGAGGAGTAGAAGCTGGAATCATCTGAAGGCTTGTTCATTCAAATATTTGGTCTCTGGTTAGGGAGGACTGGAAAACCAAGACGGGCAACCAGAGTGCCTATTAATTGGTCTCTCCATGTGGCGTGGCTTCAGAACAGCGTGGTAGCCTCAGCGTGCTTGCTGGCTCAGAACTCCAAGTGCATGAGTTCTATCGAGGTAGAAACTATGGCATATCTAGTCTAACTCTTTCATTCACAGATAAAAAAACAGATCTAGTGATCGTAAGCAAATCCACATCTGTTAAAGAAACAAGACGGTTTTCTTACTTTCGTAAGTGGATGGATAAATATACCAAGTAATCCAACTAGGCAAAACTGCAGATGCCAGGGCTGGACAGAAGGACACAGGAACTGGTGGTCATGTTCAGGCAAGGTTCCAATTAGAAGGGCTGAGGAACCTGCTGAACAAGGTGGGTCGGAATAGTTCTGAGCAGAGTCGGCCACTGGGAGGGACCTGAAAAGAAGGAAGCCTTAGTGTGCAGGTTTGCTTCTGCTCTGTAATTCCCGTATGAGCCGTGTCACCTATGACAGCCTACTAAACTTAAAATACTTTAGATATTATGGAAAAATGAGTCATGTGAGGCAAGGAAGCACCACCCATCCAGAAAGGGGAAGTTTAGCTAAACAGACCAGAATCAGTACCCTCTAAGATGAGCAAGCCTAGTTTTATTTCAGCGAGATGTTAGCCCTAAGATTTTCTGGAGTGAAAAGTATGGTCTCCAGTAGTGCACAGAGGATAAATCTGAAAAGTACTTAAATCAGAAAAACGCACAGTTATCACTCCGTGATACGTGCCCACAGGCAGCAGCCCCTAACTTTGGAGCTGAGTTTTTGGGTTAGATGCCATCTCTTGTGAGGAGCAAGCTCAAGTTAGATGATGCTGCAGAGATGAAAACAGAAGTCTCAACCAAAGAACAAGTACGATAACTGACTTTTTATGACCAAGGTGAGTTTGGCTAAAAAATAAATGACACTATAAAGGTAATTTAAATCATAAGAGATTTGTATGTCATGCTAAACAGTAAAATTTGTCTGTCTCATAAACCACCTCTTATTTAGCGATGTAAGACGACAACCATTTTATGATGCTCATGAATTGTGTGGGTCAGGAATGTGGAAGGCTTGACTGCTCCATACCGCCTGGGGCCTCAGCTGGGAAGACTCAAAGGCAAGGCTGCTTTGAAATGATGAAATCTGGAAAGTGATGATGGAGAAAGGGGGGGAAAGTTTTATCTCTTTAGCCAAGAACATGTTATAGAAGAAAAAGAAAAATGTGAGAACCCGGGAGATGATCTTCACCTCATTTTCATCACTTTCCTTCTGTGGCCGGGTTGTAATATGAATGTATGTAGAAACGGGATGACCTTTTCTGACCTAGCCTTGCAAGTAATGCAGCTTATCGTGGGTCTCATTCTGTTGGTTCCAAGTGAGTGTGAAGCCCACCCTTATTTAATGAAGCAGTTCATAGACCCCACTTTTTGATCAGAGTAAAGGTCACGTTATAAATGAGAATGGAAGACAGGATCAATTTTTGGAAAATCCGATCTGCCACACTATATAATTCCTAGCTTTCGATGAGATTCAGCTACTCTGGTTCCATAATTTAATATGATTCAGGAATAGCTGAAATGGAATCTTAGCATTTACCTTCCTCACCTACTTTCAACTTTCTTCTCTGTGGCCCTTCATTTCCATTTTCTGTGGCTGTAAGACTAACAACCAAGTGGAATGCCAACCTTCATACTTAGAGAGCTGTGTGTGTGTGTGTGTGTGTGTGTGTGTGTGTGTATTCTGCTTTCCAGAGCTGCAGAAGGAAATGTATTGTTATAACTTTGAAGACTTTCTGCTGGATGCCCAGATGCTTGGGAAATTGAAGCTGCATATAAAAAGGATATTGCTCATCAAATCAACATGCTGAATTTACTTTGACAGAGAGTTTGATACTTAAGAAATATTTTCTCCCTTTAATTGCAAGTAATAATTCTGGCTTAGATTTCAGTGAAAACAGGAATCATAATAAACCACTTAAAGAAATCATGTACTTTTATGCTTCAGAATATGAAAAATGATTTCAGGATATGTAAAGTGATTTATTCAACCAATGTTTGTTGCATACCATCTTACCTTCAGATGGTACACTGAGTATTGGGTCCACAATGGTAAATCACACCTAAAATGATGCCTTTATTTTTGGATATATATATATATATATAAATATTTATTGATGTGTAGTCAGTTTACAATGTTGTGTCAATTTCTGGTGTTCAGCACAATGCTTCAGTCATACATGAACATACATATATTTGTTTTTATATTCTTTTTATCGTAAGTTACTACAAGATATTGAATATATTTCCCTGTGCTATACAGTATAAATTTGTTGCTTATCTATTTTATATATATTATAAAATGATGCCTTTTTAATGGAGCTTCTACTCTACTTGGATAGAAGATCTGGGAACGGGTACTGAGTGTCATGATATAAGTAAACATGTAAGTGACAAACAGTTACAAGTTGTGATAAGTAATGGGAAAAAGAAAAGGATTAGGAGCCCCACAAGAGAGAATTAAAAGAAAACTTCATTTAGATTAGATGAATCAGGGAAGAAACTGACATTTATTGATTTCTAATGATGATAAATCATAACTAGTGTGGCAAATTGGGAGGAAAAGTTTTTTTGGTGGGGGGAAGAACTTTTTCAGAGGCTCTGAGTCAGACAATACTTTGCTAGATTTTATTTTCTTTCTTTTCTTTTCTTTTCTTTTCTTTTCTTTTCTTTTCTTTCATTTTATTTTATTTCAGGAACTGTAAAAGGAAAAAATATTGATGAGTTTTAAGCAGAGGAGTGACATCCTCACATTTGCATTTTAAAAAATCTCTGGCTGCTGCCATACAGAAATGGATCAGAGCAGAACAAGAATGGAATTGGTTCTTACTAATATGCTACTGAGAATGAAAAAAAGAAAAACAAAAAAACAGGAAAACAATTTACCAGGAAGAAGAGAAAAAGGATCTCAAATTTCCTAATTGCTTAGAAATCACTCAACCCATCATCTCGTCTGAGAAGTATAAATGATAGTATGGGTTGATACACAATATCACAGCCAGAAAATCCCCCATGCTACCTCTTCTTGCATACTTCCTGAGTTCTTACCTCCTGCCTTTGCACATACTGTTAATTATAACTCTGAGGAAAGCCCTCCTCCCTTTAATTGTTGAAATCTTAGCCATCCTTCAAGCTCGAAATTAAATGCTTCCTCCTTCAGGAAGAGCTGATGCCCCTAGCCAGATATTTCCTCTTTCCTGACTCCAGCTCTCTTGGGTTTACTTTTAAATGCTTCTCATGTCATTTTTGTACTGTGTGCAGGCCTAACTTTACTTGTGTAGTGCACTATTCTGGGTTCAATTCACTGTTAGAGACCCCAGTGCCTACACAGCCTGAAGGAGAGGTGGTATTCAATAAACATTGGATAAATGAATTAACATACAACTGAAATTTACATCCTGAAACAATCATAAAAGTACATGATTTTCTATTTTTTTAAAAACTGGATTAGTATGACATTTTTTTTTATAAGCCATCTCCTACAATCAACTTCCGAGCATGTGTCTTCAACAGTGTCTCTATAAATATTTATTAAATTACACTTAAATTTAAATGACATTTTCAATTTAAGAGTGATTAACTAGGATTTACTCAATAATAGACATTTTTTATTCCTGCTATTCTAACAGAAAATTTGTATTGATAAAACTACATTACTTACTCACAAAAATAAAATCAATCTTAAACATTATTTTCTATTCTTAGATATCACTTAGCTAAGTAAATTGGTGAAATTGGTACCCTTTTATGAGTTAAAGTTATCATTCTATCACTCTCTTAATGCCTTTAATTCTGTTTTTATTTTTCAAATCTCCAGTTCAACTGAATCATTAGGGGGATTACTTGCAGTCTAGAGTAATGGAAGTATTGTATAATAATACTTGGTGTTTAGAATTAAATCAATACATGTTTAAGATACTAAAAAATTAAACATGGAAAATCAAGTAGTACTTGTACAATAGAAACAAATATTGTATT